TTTTTGATATGAAGAAGACATTCTCAATGTAAAAAAAAAAATGTGGACAATAGAAAAAGACACAACAGAAACAAAAATCATGATAATCTCACTGTATCTTAACACCCCAAGATAAAAATGGGTAACTTTTTGGGTATTTTTTTAAAAACTGTATTGCTTTGAAGCCAAGAAGATTGGAGTATATTTTATCTGAATGATGGGTATGTATAACTTTTAAATAGCAAAATGAATTTTCTAAACAGTCACCTCCAAACCAGTAAAAACAAGCTGGCAAATAATCACCTTGGAAAACTAGACACTTCCTCTACAGACACTTCCTTCACTTTTTTGGAATTACCCTCAGAACCAGTTTATGAGCCACAAGAAAAACAATCATCTTGTAACTGTATAACGTAAACCCTTCTTTCAGAATAGGTCATTTTCCTCTATTTTTTGGTTTGCTTTATATTTTATTTTTCAGGTAGTCTTCATCAGGAGAAGCAAAGCAGAGCTTCTTACAGCCCAGCTATAGGAAACAAATGTCTTTGAGTGAACTCTTCTGATTTTTATTAGTGTATTTAAGGTAGGTTCAACCTCACACATTTCTCCAAATGTGAGGTGACATCTCGCATAATCACTCCAAAATGTCGTATTCATCATTGGCTTCAAACTATGCAAAAATGTCTGTTCCTGTCACATTTGTTAAAGAGCAGCTCAGCAGTTACAACACTGACACATTTAAAATTTAGTTTCCAGTGTTGTACTGATGGAGGCAAACATTTCTCTTCTTTTCTCCTTTAAAGATTCATCATTTCAAGCACAGAAGTTGTAAGACTCCTTGAATAGACTGAGGGCACAGGGAACTGCACTGGATGTCTTAGTTAAAACTATGAATTTCATATAGCTGTGGCTGTGAAGTAAAGACTTGATGTGTGCAGGTGAATTATAGAAGGTCACTATAGTCACACTATGTGCTAAGTGACCAATGGATGTGATGGTTGGGTAATGGGGAGTTTTCAACTCCAAGGTCATCGTCTGGTGGAGGAGACAGGACTGAGAGACACAAAAGAGACCTAAGAGCACTTTGGAAATAAGAGTCATGAGTTTATTCAGCGTTCAACACTTCTGGCTAGCGCCATCTTGAAATTTGCTTTCATGGGTGTCTGGAGGGTCATGATACTCTAATTCTTTTCTTACTTCTCTTATTACATCCGCATAGATTTCATTCTATGGATCAAGAATTCTCTACTGATTTTCCTGAGGAGTGTTGACTGATTAGTTATGTCCCTGCCTCATGAAAAGCAGTGTTCCACGTTGGCCCTCTTCTGTCTTCAGTTGGGTGTGGCAGTGCAAAGAGCAATGACTTTAAAGAGCAGAAGACTGAAGATTGATAGTCCTACATTGTTACTTGCTAACCTATCTGACTGTGAGAAAATCACTGCCTTCCCCAATAATAGAATCACCTCAACCACTCCACAGTTATTAATGGAAAGAGATTTTCACTTTGAAAATGGTAGATCAAACTGGCTAAGACTTACCTTCACTTGATGCCACCACTTTTACCACTATGAATGACTCGGGCATAGATGTGAACACATGACTCCTCTGTTCTCTGTAATTCCACTGAAAGAGGAACACCAAATTTGGATGAGATGTTGAAGATTGGGGTTGGGGAAGGGTTAAAGTTAAAAAAAGGGGGAAACAAACAAACTCAGAGAAGAACATGAAGTGAGATGGTAAGGCTTATGAAATGTTCACTCTCTCGGTCTGATTGGCTCTGTCCCATTCAAGCTCCTGACCAGCCACTTTGTGATGGGCACACTCTACACCGGTTATCAGGAGTCTCTGTCTTCCTTGAAGGATAAGATCAAGACAGTGAGACCCAAAGGATAAAAATTCCTATTCCTGTGTGCCAAAAGCCAGAGCTCTGGGTTATTGTCTGGGGACCTGCTTCTTTCTCAGTTACTTAACTCTGGCAATGCCCACACGCATCAAGGGAGACCATGCCAGCCCATAGCCTCATCTGGCCTTCAGTATAAGTATCTAATTCCCAGTATCTTGACTCTGTCTAAACACTCCGTGATACCTTGTAAGAGCAAAAATATCAGGGGGGCTGCCTCATTACTACAACTATGAGAAAATGACATTTGAACTTACTGAGCTGTTGGACCCTCATCTGTAAATGAGAGCTAACAAGACCAGTTTTTTCAGATTGATTGTCAGGATTAAATGAGATGACATAAGCAAAAACTTTGTGTATTGATGTATCATACAAACTTAAATCTCTATTATCCCTTCAATAAATTCTTTCCTTATTACACATTGGTGAACCTAACCAAGGTTTTTTTCTTTTGTTTTTTTTTCTTTATGTCAATGTCTTGTCTTTGGAGCTGGTTGGCCAATTTCTTGAAGACAGGAAGCTATTTTATACCCCCTACCATGTAGCACACATGATAAACACTCGGTACATAGATGTGCACTGATTTTCTCTGTTGAACCTTACCATTGCTGTGAAGAAAGGATCTGCACTTTTCATTTATTTAACTCTGCTGTCGCATCTGGAGAAATGTTAATCAGCTGCAGCTTTTTCCTCCCTTGGCTGTATGACTCAATCCTGTGTTGTCATACTTCCCAATTAGTAGCCATTCCACATGACTCAAAGGGAAAGATGGAAATGAGTCTCACCCAAGACAACATAAAAGCAAAGATAATACAATAAATTAAGACTTCTGGTAAAACTACAAAGAAAAAGTGGGGATTCCAAGCAACATAGATGTTCAGTTTTTTACAGTTTATTCCAAATACTCCCTCAACTCCATAACTTTTTTTTTTCCCTGCCAGAGGCTATCTTCTGAATGAAGGGGTGGAGGTGCCAGGATGGTCTTGGTGAGAAATGGCTGTGAGGCCCGCTATGATAATGTCACTACTATGTGTGTGTCTTCTGGACCATCCTTTGGAAATTATGCTGCTATTAGCCAGGAATCTTCTAGTAATGCAAGAATGTCATGCGCAAAGTAGGTCATCTTGTTTAAATTAGTAACACCCTGGCAAGACGAAATTATTGCCAAGCAAGAGTATTTCTGGTTAATTTGCACTTAACTCATTCAAAGGATGAAGATCCTTGAACTTCTTAGTCAAACGAACCAAAAATCATCTATCAATTTTAAATTCGGAAAGGATACTAACACTCATGTGGTCTACCAAGGCTAAGTCTTCTTTGTTTTCTGTAATGTGCAAGGAGAAAATTCAGTCTTGCAGTCAGAAGTCACACTCTGAGGAAGCCATTTTATTTAATTATGTTTAATTTTGCTCGTTTGAACTTTTGAATATTTTATCCACAAAATGCCAACAACTACTGCTTTCCCTTTGCTACTTTCTAATAATAATGGCTTTTTAAATAAAAGTTTTAGCATGCTTTGGTGCTTTCCTCTTTTGTGTTGTCATTTTTCCCACCATGATCATGCTTCTTATACTGTTTTGCAATCTGGTTCTTTTTGTCTTCCCTTCTACTAATGAAGGAGACTGACCATGTCTGATTCTTTTTATACACTCAGTGACTGTTTATAACCCCTATCTCTTTTTCCCTGAAACTTTCTTTACAAGCCAGAGGAAAGAGAAATAGTGCCAGCCTCCTTCAATGCCAGAACTTGAGGCAGGAGGTTCAGGATGTGATCAAGACCCAGCTCTGATACAGACAGAGGATAGCTAAGAATCTGGAAAAAGGAGCTATAGAAATCCTCACTCAGCAATTGAAAGCAGTCATCCTTCCATCCCATGATGAGGCACTCCGAGAGCTCATTGGGAAAGTGTTCAAAGGACCACAGAGTCCTACAGGTTTGGGGTGACGATGGAGGAACAGAAGACTTCTGAATAATTGTACAGCTCACAGAGGCCCTAATCCCTCAGAAGTCAACACCATCACATACCCACGGAAGTGCACGGCCATCCTCCTCAAGTTAGCCATGTTTGACTGGACCACAGTTGATTGGAAGAGACGGATGAGGGGAGGGGAAGGGAAGGAAGAGGAATATACCTAACTCACACTGGATCAGTTCAATTTTCTATCACAGGAGCGTGTTAATCTCTGCAGTGGCTGGAAGTGAGACGATGTAAACGAGGGCACTCAGGGGCAGCCATCTTTTGCATACGGAGAAGTAGTGACAGCAAGTAGGCGTGGAGGGAAGAATAACAAGTCTGTGAAAAGAGAGGAGAAACTGAGAAATCAAACACTTTCTTGGCTTCTGAAAGCTTTCCAATTACTAGTTTCAGTCCTTGAAGAGGCCCCATTACCATTGGCCTCCATAATAAATGTCTGTCTCATTTCAATAAGTTGTCTCTTTTGGATTGCACTATCTTGTGTTGGTATCTTGACGGAAAAAGGAGGAGCATTCAAGGCCTGTGCAGCTACCTTTGCAGAGCTGAAGGTGCCTGATCCTTCCTTGTAGTTCTTGTTTTCTTTTGCTCCTTTATTCTGCATTCCTTTAGCATTCGTATCGTCAATTCAGAGCACGCCATTTTTACACTTACTGTTTCTATAACTGTTGCCAAAGTATGTTCTATTGCATTAGTGTTTTCTAGAGCACTGCATGTCTAGTACCTAATTCAAGTTCTTAGAGTGTTTTCCAAGCTTATTAACTACTCCAGGAGGCTGAAATCTACGGCTGTTACCATGAGGGCTCCTGTTACCCTTAGGAAGCTCAGGCTTGTGAATGGTGAAGCAGAGATAAGTTTGGACTCTTGTCCCAAACCTGCTCCTTTCCTCAGAAAGGCCAGAAGTTGGGGACAGTCCTTGGCAGGACTGAATTTCAAGTTTGTCTGTGAGTTGAACAAGAAGAAGTAAATAAATGATTTCTTTTCTATAAAGGTAAGTGCAAATAATCAGATCCTAAGAATTAGTGTTGGGATGGCTTATTTAAGATTTTTTTCTTTTAATGATCTGGAAGAAAAATAAATGAATGATGAAATCTCCAAATTTGCACATGACACAAATTCTTTTAGAGAAGAAGTGGCAAGCTGGAACATTGTAAAATTCAGGAAGTTGTAGCATGGTAATACATTTGGGGAAAATAATCTTTCACAATTCTGAGGCTCTGAGCTCTCAGTTACAGTTCAGGAGAGAGAGCTACAGATGTTTTGTCCTGTATGGAATCTGGCACTCTTCTAAATTAGGCTCCAAATTTGGTGATGTTTTTTAACGTTAGTAGCTAATTGTCCGTTTTTACTCTATGCCAGACAGTGTGCTAAATACTTTCAATATATAATCCCATTTATTTTACAAAACCCAGTGAATCAAGTGCAACTATCCCCATTTTATTCAGAAAGATAATTAACTTGTGTGAATTCCTACAGCTTGTATGTGTCAAGAGACAGGAAGAGTTAAGGCTAAGTGAACAAATCTACATTCATCTTATTCATCATTCAGTAAATTTGAGTGCCCATCATATAGTGGACATTGTCTAGGTGTTTGCAGATGAACAAAACAAAATAGAAAAGATCCTTGTCTTTGTGTAGCTTCGATTTTAAAGAGAAGAAACAGAAAACCAACAATACATAATAAAAATAGGAAATCATATGGTATACTGGAAGGTGATAAGTGCTATGGAAAAAGGAAAAAACATACACATGGCAGGTAAAGAGGAACAAGAGCATGAGGGTAGTGGGAATGTGAGTGGTGAATCTTAAATTGGATGGTCAGAATAGGTCTCAACAAGAAAGTAACATTTGCTCAAAGATTTACCGAAGTAGTTTACGTGGGGGTTACCCAGGGAGATGTTTGGGGGAACAGCAATTCGGGGATAAGTGAAAACAGTGCCAAGACTCTAAAGCAAGAACGTGCCTTGTGTGTCATTACTAGATAGTTTTGTTTTATACTGAGCTGTAATCTGATTTACTTTAACTTTAGTGATATTCCCCAGCCTGGTCCTCTGAGACTATATCCAATCTAAGTCCAATCATAGTCACAGGGTATAGTAGAATAATCACTTTACTTGTACAGTACATCATACTTCAGTTAATGAAGACCCAGTTTCAATGAGTGTTTCTTGAAATGTCCCATCACACAATCAGCTTATAACAAGGCAGCTAGAAAAAGCACAAGATAAGGAATCAAGAGACCTGAAATCAAAGGGGTCAGCCACAATCTTATCTAGTGATCTAAGATAACTCCAAAACTAATGTACACTGAATATCAACTAGGTGCCAGGTACTATTCTAAGCTCTCTGGATACAGGGAGGAATAAACAAAGATCCCAGCTCTTAAAGAGCTTACATTCTAATGGGAGAGAGACAGGCAGTAATGAGTAAGCCTGATAAATTATATGCTTTGAAGGCAGTAGAGCCTGGAACAGAAGGAATAACAGAGAAGGATAAAGGGTGATGTAGAGTGCTGAAAGGGTGGGTGATTTGAGTGGCAGTCTGAAATAGTAGGGCTCTGGGTAGCTTCATTAAGATGATGACCTTTGAGTGATAATGTGAAGGAGGTGAGGGAGTCAGTCCTGTGGATATGTGTGAGAAGAGTGCACCAGGGGGAGGGACCACTCAGTGCAAAGGCCCTAAGGTGGGAGCGTTTCTGGTCCATTAAAGTTTTCTTATGTTGCTTTTGTATAAGTATATATGTCTTTTCCATTCTTTTACTTTTAACTCATCTGTATCATTATATTTAAAGGGCATTTTTTGTAGCTGGCTTACAAAATTGGATTTTATTTTGTTATCTAATCTGACAATCTCTGCATTGCATTTTAATTGGAGTTTTAAATATTTTAAATATTTTAAGATTATTTATTTATATTTAATATAATTATCAGTATAGCTGAATTTAAATCAGCCATCATTTTATTTGCTCTCCTCATCTCTCTCTTTTTTTTTTCATTTCCTGAAATCTTTTGGATTGAGTATTTTAAAATGTACTGTTTTATAATTACTATTATCTTATTTTCACTGCCTTTTAACTTTATTACTATTGCTAGAGTTTACCATATGGATCTTTATCTTATCACAGTTTACATTCAAATTATATCACTGTATGTACAATATAAAACCTTTTCAATATTTTACTTCTGCATGTGTTATAAACTGCAGAATACATTTGTATTATTTTTGTTTTAAACCATCAGTTTTCTTTTAAGTAATTTTAAAATGAGTGTATTGTATTGTACTGTATTTCCCTATATTTTTATTGTTTTTGGTATTTTTTCATTCCTCTGTGTAGATGCAGGTTTATATCAGGTATCTCATCAGATACCTCTCTCTCTCTCTCTTTTTTGCCTGAAGAATATTCTCTAACATTCTTTATAGTGTATTTCTGCTGATGTTAAATTCCCTCAGCTTTTGGTTATCTGAGAAAATTTATTACATCTTTAGTTTTGAAGGCTGTTTTGGTAGATTGAATAACCTAAATTGATAATATTTCCCTCCAGCACTTAAAAGATATTGTTTCATTATTTTCTGTCTGGCATAGTTTCAGACAAGAAGTCTATGTAATTTTTTTAAGTGAAAGCAAGCTTATTTAGAGAGATATGTCATCTTTATTTTTGTTCCTCTAAGCATAATTTTTTTCTTTTGTTGCTTATAAAGTTTTGAATTATCACTGGATGTTAGAAATTTTGTTGTGATATTTCTTCATATGCTTTCATTTATGTTGATTCTACCTGAGTTTTGTTGAGTCTCTTGGATCTTTAAGCTTATAGTTGTCATTAAAATTTGAAAACTTTTGCCATTATTTCTTCAAGTATTTCAATTACATATATATGATACTGCTTGCTATTATCCACCAGTCTCTGAGGCTGTCTTTTTTTCAGTCTCTTTTGCCTTTTGTGACTTATTATGGATAGTTTCTAATGATAAGTCTTCAGGATCACTAATGTTTTCTTCTATTGTATCTAAAATGCTGTTGACTAAATTTAGTGGAAACTATTTTTTCACATATATTTTACATCTTCAAAATTTCTGTTTGGTTTTATTTTATATTTTTCATGTATCTCATCATTATGTTTATTTTTTGTTTAAGACTTTGGGCAAAGTCAGCATAGTTACAAAATCCATTTTAAAATCTTTGTTAATTCCACCAAATAGTCCTTTCTGGGTCTATTTCTGTTGTGTGATATTTTTCTTATTATTATGGGTCACATTTTCTTGCATCTTCATCTATCTAATAATTGTGAGTTTTACTTTGTTGAGTTCTGGATTTTGTTATCTTACTTCAAAGACTCTTGGATTATGTTATGTGTTGTGGTTAAGTTACCTCCAGATCAGACTGACCTCTCTGAGGCTTTTTAATAAAGTTTTTAAAGCAGAAATCTAGAGTAGCCTTTACTCTAGGAAAAATTTAGCCCTACTGCTGTATTGTGATTCGTCTATAGTCTGTGCTTAGTAAGGTTTCTCCATTCTAACTGGAGGGAACTTGAACAATTCCAAACCATGTGCAAATTCTGGGAATTGTTTGGCTTACAATTCTCAAGTACTTTGTTCTTTACCTAGAACTTGTTTTTGCCTGACCTTGTGGAGTTTCACTCTCCACATGCACATATTTAGAGCTAGAAATTATTCATCTTAGAGGTAGAAGTTTGTATTATTTGACCAATGTCTCCCTCTACCCCAGCCCCTGGTGTCCACCATTCTACTCTCAGTTTCTGAATTTGATGTTTTTAGATTCCACATGTAAGTGACAACATACAGTATTTGCCTTTCTCCATCTGACTTATTTTATTTAGCTTAATGCCCTCAGGTTCCATCCACGTTGTCACAAAAGGCAGGATTTCCTTCTTTTTTATGACTGAATGATACTCTATTTTACCAAGTTAAGGAAGTTCTCTTCTATTGTTAGTTTTGTAACATTAAAGGAAAACACAAAACAATAAGTGGTGTGGAAATGTATAAAGCTTGGTAAGCACCTTGACCCTTACTACTTTGTTCAGGATGGAAGGTGGAGGACAGTGGGAAGAGTTTGTCAAGAACCAAAAGCACCAAGAAGCTGTCCTGATCTTTTAATTAAACGTCATACCATTAGCTCCCCCTATGTCTTTCAATAGTCTGTAAAAGTAAGATTTTTTTTAGCATAATTATGCAAAGTATCAAACAAAAGCTTAAGTATATACCCAGCTCCTGTATTTGATAATTCTAAATGTTTCTCTGTGTTGAAAATCATATTGTTGACTTTATAATTTAGAGCATTTTAGCAAGTGTGCCTCCAAATCTTGCCTTTTGTCATACTGAGCAAAATTCAAATAATGGGGCCATAATTATTATTATAAAAACAGTATCTCAAAATTAAGAATTATACGTGTTTTAGGAATGACAATAAACTAGTATAAGAAGTGTATTTAGAGGGAAGGTGAAACCTAGGCCTCAGTAAGGCTCTCACCTGAAAAGTAATTGCTGTCAAATGTTGACAAGTCAATCCAATGAAAACCATTCATCTATAAAGATCATTTACACAAAATTTTCAAATTCAATTTAAAAATATTCCAGAAGGGCCTTGGTAGCTCAGTCAGACTAGATCCAGGCAGACAGAAGATTTTTTTAGAAAGATTTTGTGGTCAAAATAATGAACGTTCTGAAAAATAGCTTTATTTTTGAAAACATTCAAAACAGACAGAG